TATTTAGACAAAATCAGGTGGCGTGTATTAGACGCTGTGAGGTCGTTTTGTACTTTACTCTTGATCATTGACAAAAATTTAACATTTCCGCTGTGTGAGGCTCAGTTTCAGCCATTTCCCATCTATAAACCAATCAAAATCATCTCTATCTCTGTAATTTTATTCCATTCTATGAATGGAGACCAATAAAATTGCACATATAACTATAAAAAAACATCGAAAAAAACACTGCATAGTCGCTGTTTTAATCGAAAATCGACGGGTCTCAGTTTTTTTCTCTCATTATACACTGTGTGCTGCAGATTTGTTTTATGAGGTGCACACATTCCACATAGATTATTCTCTCATATCTAGGCCCAAATTTACCCTCACAGCTTATCAGAGTGAGCTGAGTCTCATGGCGTAGACTACGGTTTGGACCCTGAATTGTAAAGCCGTAGATCTCGGCCAGACCCTGAAAGGGTTAAAATTACACCATACATCTACCCTATTGGCCTATACAGTGGACCCCCGCCTTACAATCAGCTTTCCATTGGACAATTGTGTAAGTTGTATTTAGGTAAGTTGCTTTTGTACGTGTATTTTTGGGGGTCTCTGAAAACGGGACTAATCTAATTCACAATATTCCTTATGGGTAACAAATTTCTTTCGGTAACGGCACCTGAACATACTTCTGGAATGAAATTATATCATAAGGCGGGGGTCCACTGTACTCTCAGTAGCCCATCTATCCTCCAATAGTTGTTTATATCTTACCCTAAATGTCTCCTCCTTTAGTTTATAAGCCTTCGCCTCTCTCTTACTTCCTGCTTCCGTTTTCCTTGTATCCCATCTACCTTTTACTCTCACTGTAGCTACAACTAAAACGTCATCAAATATATCTCTGGCCCCTCTATAAACATGTACATCCTGAAGTCTACCTAACAGTCTTTTATCTACCATTAAGTAGTCCAACAAACTATTGTCATTATGCCCCTATATCATATCTTGTATACAGTAGGGCCCCGCTTTATGGCGTTTTGCTAATACGGTCATTTCAAATTATGCCCAAAACACACTATACGGCTCCCCCACCTGTCTTTCTAATACAGTCTCCGTGCCCCACCCTGTTTGTTTACATTCTATGTGAGATCCGTAAGCACTAAGTCTCTCCATTATGTCTGTAAACTCCAAAATTTCAGGTGTTTTTAGAAGTTATTTCATATTTTATATATACTCTGGTAATTATACTTATGTATACCTGTACCTAAATAAACTTACATACTGTGCTGGCATGCAGGTACACATTAAAATCAGTAAGAGTGTCTTATGTCTCGAGACGTCATATTAGTAATGATAATAATAATCACCGAGTCTCATCAAATGTTGTATATTACGTTAATATACAGTGGACCCCCGGTTAACGATATTTCTTCACTCCAAAGTATGTTCAGGTGCCAGTACTGACCGAATTTGTTCCCATAAGAAATATTGTGAAGTAGATTAGTCCATTTCAGACCCCCAAACATACACGTACAAACGCACTTACATAAATACACTTACATAATTGGTCACATTCGGAGGTAATCGTTATGCGGGGGTCCACTGTACATATTTTCACTAATCCATCTATGATATTTTTTCAAAATTACATAATAAACACGATGCATAACATATAAATAAGATAAATACACCCCACAGTAGAATAAATAAACATAAATATGAGATGTGGTAGCCAGATGACTTGCACAAATGATGCCATATTAGAAATAATAATAATAATAATAATTATCACCGAGTCTCATTAAATGTCGTATATTACGTTAGTATACACATTTTTATTAATCCATCCATGATATTTTTTTCAAAATTGTATGCTAAACACGATGCAAAACATATAAAGATGATAAATACACCCCACAATAGAATAAATAAACATAAATGTGAGATGTGGTAGCCAGACTTTTATGAGTGACTGCAAGAATAACATTTTCTCTAGTCCAACATCAGAGAAAATGTGTTACTGGGGGTAACTGTAGACAATTATTCGTTTCGTATGTAAGTAAGTTTATTCAGGTATACACAAATACAGTTACATAGATTATCATACATAACAGCATATGTGTAGAGAACTAGGATAACCCAAAAAGTCAGACAGAGTGACTTATTTCCATTGCCTTCACTCAGAGCATTATTTCTTCTAAAAATGGTGTTACATGCGAATGGGAGTGTTCTTCTTTATTTATTCTACCGTATCAATGTAGAGACAACTTGTACACAATGTAACTTGTACACAAACCAGACGTGTACACTTTGTGTGTTTACAAAACTTGCGTTCGCCTGGTTTGTTACATAACTCTGCGCCTGTCCTCCCCTCATGTACTCATTCTCTCTCTCTCTTGTTTACATATATTTGTTTTATCTCGTTTACCCTACATTAAGCCTACAAATATTTTAAGGTAAGTAATGAGTGAACTGTTAATGCATTTTATCGCTCTGGGATGCTTAAATATCATAGAATAGTATGTGTGGGTGGGTTGGCCTAGTATGGTAGCCTGGCTGACTACCATACATACTACACTTGATTTTACAATAAATACTACTCATCTAACCCTAGATTAAATGTAATAGAATATTATGTGTAAGTAGGGTGGCCTGGTATGGTAGCCTGGCTGACTACCATACATACCTTGATTTCTTACAATAAATACTACTTGTCTCACCCTAGATTAAGACTACAAATATTTTAAGGTAAGTAATGAGTGCACTATGTGTGTATTTTACTTTTTTATTGTTTTTTGATGCCTGTTCTATTGCTAACTTAATATATGTTAGTGTAAAACTTGTTATCTAGTGTTTGTATACATTTATAAGGGGAAAAAAGGGTGTTTCACTTTACGGCGATTTCCACTTTACGGCGGTAGCCTGGAACCTAACCTGCCATATAAGTGGGACCCTACTGTACTTATTTATCCTCTGTTTCTTAGAATATGTATTACCTATAACCAAACCCCTTTCTATACAAAGTTCAGTCAAAGGCTCCCCATTATCATTTACACTTGGCACACACCAAACCTACCTACCACACCCTCTCTAAATGTTTCTCCTACTTGAGCACTTAGGTCCCCTACCACAGTTACTCTCTCACTTGGTTCAAAAGTTCCTACACACTTGCTTAACATCTCCAAAAATCTATCTCTTTCCTCTACACTCCTTTCTTCTCCAGGTGCATACACACTTATTATGACCCACTGTTCACATCCAACTCTTTAATCCACATATTCCTTGAATTTATATATTTATATTTCCTCTTCTCTTTCCATAACTGATCTTTCAACATTATTGCTACCTTTCCTTAGCTCTCTTTCAGATACTCCTGACTTAATCCAATTTATTTCTCCCCACTGAAACACCCCTACCCCCTTCAGCTTTGTTTTGCTTAAAGCTGTACATCCAACTTCTTTTCATTCATAATATTAGCAATCATTTCTTTCTTATCATCCACAGGAACATTATTATCCTACGATCTACTATATATAGAACAGCCATAGTACACTTCTTATTAAGTTTGTATTTACATAACTAATTTACATTATCCAATTCTCCTGTTAATAAATGCAAAGGATATTGTATTGAGTTCACATACATTTAGCTCTCTTGTAAAGCTCTCTGAATAGTGCAATTTTTTACATGCAATTGAAAAGTATCTAGAATTAAATAGCATGTGACAAGCCTTTGTAGTACATGCTATTCCGTTTTGGATGCACCTTTTCAAGTGTATGTGCAAAAAGTCACACCATAAGTTTGGGATCTGGCAGTGAATACATCATAATATAGTCAAGCATAAATGTACAGTATTTAATAAAAATCTAGTAATGTGATTGATATGATGTCAATTGTAATGCTTTATTCTCACCATATAGTAACCCACAGTCTTCCTGGCATGGCTTGGGCCCTTTAAAATATAGAGACTGAATGACAAAAGTGTGTGTGTGTGAGGGAGCACAAACAATAAACTGGCTAGGCTGGCCTACTGCTCAGAGAAAACGAAAATGGACAGGTTCTGGACATGGCTGCTTGTCCCATACCAGACAAACATGGACATTAACAGACTTGGCCTGATAATTCAGAAGACAACTGGACACTATTGCTACTGACAAAATGCAGAATCACTCACTTTCGTCCATTCTGTTTGATAATTAGAGCATTTGTCCAAAATTTCCAAAATCCGTCATTGAGAGGTTTACTATATATACATTAGGAAAGGGCAAGAGTAAAAGTCTAGGGAAAGGACTCTTCATGTTATATACTAATTACATTCCAGGTATACTCAGGGTGTCTTGAAGTTAACAAAGGGTTCTTCATCCTAGGAATTAGAGCTGCTCTCATTTTTTTTTCATCAAATTGGATTTCCTCCCATTACCAGGTACTAAATAGTCTTCTGTGGGTTTAGTGCTTCCCAATAGTAGTAGTAATAATAATAATTGTAATAATCTTCTTTCAGCAAACTGCCACTTATGACACACATGGCTTATGGAGGAAGAATTTTCTTCCACTTCCCTATGGAGAATAATAATAATAATAATAATAATAATAATAATAATATTAATAATAATAATAATAATAATAATAAGAGTTCATAATAATAATCTGCACTTCTAGAGATTTCATTAACTCTGCTCATAGCTGTTGACCCTTTCCACCTAAGTACTAAATAAGTATGTGAGTGTTGGCAAGCTGTTGTCACTTGCGTCTTGAGGGGTAGTAGTGATAGACCTTAGGGCTGGGCTTCAAAATGATCTGATGTAAGATAACAACTCTTAGCTCTATATTAAAATGGGCTATAAAAGAAAGGATTGTCTTATTCAGTTTCTTATTTAGAAATATTTTGGAGAGTGTTAAAAATCATGAATTTTGACTTTATGTGCTCTTTTTATAATAGTTTTTTTATTTATCTTCAATCTTTTAATGCAAATTAGTTAATTTAAAGCTTTAAGTTACTTATCCCAAAAATATTTCAGCCACTTCCAGATATATTCATTGGTATTCAAGTCAGTATACCAAACAACACAGAGAAAATTGATGAGCTGAAAAAAATATGTTAAAAGCGTATCCTTTTATATATACTAGAAAGATATAATGTGTGAGGTAAGTGGCTTGACTCCTGTGTCTTTATTCCATTTAAAAATTTACTGTACTGTTCTTGAAATAGAAAATAAATTTTTTGTAAAATAAAGATTGGTGAAAATTAAACCAACTTGATATGGAAATTTTAAGGTGTTCAGTTAAAGAGGTAAGATAGTAGGCTTGTCTTCAGTGTTTTTATTTCGATAGCTGTCTCCCACTGAGGTGGGGTTTCTGGAGAGTTATTCTGGAGAGAGTTCCGGGGTCAACGCCCCGCGGCCCGTCTGTGACCAGGGCCCCCTTAGGTCAGTGTCCCAGGATGCGGGCCCACACCAGTCGACTAACACCCAGGTACCCATTTTTACTGATGGGAACATAGACAACAGGTGGAAAGAAACACGTCCAATGTTTCTCTCGGCTGGGAATCGAACCCAGGCCCTCACCGTGTGAAGCGAGAGCATTAACCACCAGGCCACCAGAGCCCCCAAAGAAGAAAATACATTAACCATCATTCATTCGATCATTATCTTTGAATTTTTTTTAACTCAGTGGCCATCTCCCACCAAGGCAGGGAGACCCAAAAAGAAAAAAAACGAAATTCACTGACATTAACTCATTTGCTGTCTTTCTAGAAATATGCAGACATCATAGTCAAAGTGCCCCCTCCAACTCCAATATCCCTACTCTCCTTCAGAGTGCAGGCACTACCCTTTCCACCTCCTGGACTCAAGTCTGGATAACCAGTTCCCCTAAAACCCCTTTTATAAAAGTTCTTGTACTCCCCACTCCAAGCACTTCCATTAAAACTACTTGTCTCCATTCACTCTTATCTAACCTACTCACTCTAGCCTGCTGGATGTTTGAAATTATGCGAGGAGAATAAATTTTAAAATTTCCCACTATTATGAACTGTGGCATGCTTTTCGTTTGGTGCTTGTACATAAAAGGGGCATAACTATACCACTTTGTTGAAATCATGCGTTATTTGATTGATTCCCAGTAAGTACTGTTTTGTCATAAGAAATTTAAGTGCTTGTGTGAGCCTTTGCATTATTTTTTATTAAGAAGAGATCATGCAATCTCCATAAAAATTATAAAAGTAAATATAAACAATGATTTGTTTAATTGACTGCATATGAAAGTACAGTGGAACCTCTACTTAGGAGTTTAATCCGTTCTGTGACCTTGCTCGCATCTCGATTTACTCGTTCGTTGAGTCAATTTTCCTCATTTAATTAATTGAAAGGGAAAAATTTAACCCTTTTCCATTGTAATTCCACGTACGACAAAATACGGTGGACCCCGGTTAACACCGGATCGGATAGCACCAAAATCAGATAACCCCCCTTGCTTTGGCATAAAAAAATTGGGCTCAGAAAAACACCTGAAAACTCGGTTTGGAGCTTTCGTCCCGAACGTGTCCGTGGGCGGGCCCGGCCAGTCACCCAGTCTCCCAGCCAGTGTCCCAAATTTTTACAAAGCCAGGAGGATGATTCTACATGTACATATGATATATTTTGTATTATTTCATTGTTTTTGGTGCTTGTAAATGCTAAATATACCACCATGGGCCCCAAGAAAGCTTCTAGTGCCAGCCCTATGGTAAAGAATGTGAGAAACACATAATTTAAGAAAAAGTTTGTAGAAAGTACGAAAGTGGTGGTGGTAGTGATTGTGGTAAGGAGGGTGGTTTAGCAATGGTGGTAGAGGGTGGTAGTGATGGTAGTAAGGGTGGTAGAGATTTGATGGGGGTTTAGAAGGTGGTATTGAGGGTTTGGTAGAGGGTGGTAGTGAATGGTGGTAGAGGGTGGTAGTGATGGTGGTAGCAAGGGTTTTGGTAGAGGGTGGTAGCGATTGCGATGGTAGCAGAGGGTGGTAGTGAGGGTGGTAGAGGGTGGTAGCAATTGTGATGATGGTAGAAGGTGGTAGCAATGTGAGGGTTTGGTAGAGGTGGTGGTGGTAAAGGGTGGTAGTGATGGTGGTAGAGGGTGTAGCAATTGTGATGGTGGTAGAGGGTGTGGTAGAGGGTGGTAGCGATGGTGGTAGCAATGGTGGTAGTAGAGGGTGGTAGTGGTTGTGATGGTGGTATGGTAGGCTGCCAGTTCTGACAAAAAAGTGGCTGAAAAATATGTGCGGGACTTTTAACCCTTTCAGGGTCAGCAGGCCCTCTCCCAAACCCGTTCTCAAGGTCGCTAAAAATTCGAAAAAAAAAAATGATTTTTCTTTTTAAAAGATAGTGTTTTTTTTCTGAATTTTATAGGCTAAACAAAAAAATTTTACCCATCAGAACTTAACCGAGATATGGAGGCGTGAAGTTGATAGAAAATGACCAGCATACGGTAATATCGCCCACTGCCAGTCACCCGTATTAGTTTTTTTTTTATTTTTTAGGTACTATTTTTGTATTTTTTTTTTTTTTTTTTTTTTAATTTTTTTTCCAAATAACTTTTATGGCCTGTGAGACCAATATAAGCACTGTTTTGTAAGTTATTTCTTTTTCTATACTATACAATAACTGCGTAAACACTGTTGTCACTATTTTGTTTACAAAACATATTTACAATGTTGTTTATTACTTTTTTTCTATTTTTTATATACACATATACAGTCACAGGACATGATTTTAGAAGTTTTTGAAATGTGGTGTCATGCACAGTGGTGTTTTTACACTCCTCACACAAAAAACGAGTGTCTTTTCGTTGTTGTGGGCGTTTTTTTGTATGTGCACAAACGAAAAACACCTTTTCTGAGCCTTTTTCTTGAAAGCAGTAGCGGGCAGTTTTGTTAGGAAGTGATCACCATGCTTCAGATGAGAAGGTAGTTGTTGATAATTACGTGGGCGTTTTCTATTGCAGGTGCTGTTCCTTGGAAACTTATTATATTTGTCTGATGACAGACAAACAAAATTCGCCAAATGGTGGTTGTTTTCTGTCCTCATCTTTATATATTACAAGCATTGAGCATGGAAAGGTCCAGCATATGGAAAAAGAGTTTTATGACCACTTATAACTCTTGCAAACACAATCAGCAAACCCAATCTGAAAGTCACTTTGTCCACTGAGTGCATATTGAGGGTGTAGTCAGTAACAGCTGCAGGTTTTAGAATGGTTTCATTGCTTTCTCTATGCTGCCTGCCAGTGTCGCCATTTCATTAGGGTGAACTGATGACAGTGTGACATCTCGTTTGTCATTGCCACCGAAATGCCATGATGTCATTGGCACAAAAAGCCTGCCCTCACCTCTACGAGTGCCGGCGTCGAACCTGGGCATATGTTTGGAATTTGCATGCACTGTGCCACACACATCTGTCATTTTCACTAGCAAGATATCACTGAGTAAGGGGTTTGTGTACCAGTTATCAGTATATAATATATGTCCCTTACCAAGATATGGTTCCATCATTGTTCTAACCACATCACCAGAGATACCCAGTACTTCCTGGTATCTCGCAATGTATTATTTCCAGTGTACACAGTTTTATCCAATACAAGACCACTGTAACAATCACAAAGCACAAACAACTTTATACCAAAGCGTTTCCTCTTGCTTGGTAGTATTGCTTGAATGAGAGTCGTCCTTTGAACAGAATCAAAAAACTCATCAGTAACAAGCTTCCTGAAGGGATAAAAATACATATTGAATTTCTTTTTCCCAGATACACAAACACATTCCTAATCTTGTATAACCTGTCGTTTCTGTCAGGCCTGATTTTGTCTGAGAAGTGAAGCATACGTAATAGTAGCACAAATCAATTCTCTCGTATTATATCACTGAAACCTGGGGTTGCAATCAGGCAGTCTGTTGACCAGTATGATTTCACACTGTGCTTATACACACATGTGGCATAAGCATTGTTATGGCAAACAAAAGATACATCTCAGCCACAGTTGTCTCCTTCCACTGGTGTAAGCATGAGTTTGGTGAAAGTATTGTGTTTGCCATGGTGAACTCGTAGTATCTGTTGCTTTCCCTGACAATAATTTCCATCAGGGGTTCATCAAATAATAACTCGAAACATTCCAGTTCAGTGGCATTGTTCCAAAGGTACAAATGGCCGTTTTTCCCATTTTGATTCCATCAAAGTGATGGGGGATTGGGAAAAAAATTGGCAGTTCCTGCCAATCCCGGGTGGGGTCTGCTGTAGGTAGGGGATATTACAGGGGGTTGTGGTTGTTGGGGTTGGGGTTTTTGGGAGGCTGGTGTGTAGGTGGGTGGGGATGGGGCCTTTGTTTAGATCACTGAGGCAGCGGCGTGGGTGGAGCATGGCCCATGCGGGTGCCTCACGGGCCGGGCACCACCATACCCCCCCCATCCCTTTTTCCCACCCAATTGCAACACTATCTTTCATTTTCACTTTTTCCTGTTGTACAGCCACAGGTGTACTCCGAGATGTACTCCTTCCCCCTTGGGAATGCAAGGGCACACAACCAGAGGCATAAATCGTCGTTGTAAGGCTTACTCACCCGTAAAAACTTCAGCAGTTTTCTCGGCTGCTCCCCTCGGGAAAATTAATGAATAAAAAAGAAATAATAATTCACAAAGATAAACACTATTATTTATTAAATAAAAACAAAAAACAATAAAACATGAAAGGTATATCCTATTGAAAGAAAATGAAAAAAAAAAATGAATAAAATAAATTTGAACTCAACGAATAAAAGGCGTGTCTGGTTTTGGGTGACACTGTTGTTGAAATCGTAGCCGTTGCTGATGATAGGGGGGGGGTGGGGGGTTTTGGTGACCTCCCGGCTATTTTTCACAGTATACCATGGAGTACCCCCGATGAAGGAAAAGCAGGTTCTTTCCCGCTGCAATGCTGTGGAGTTTACGCCCTGCAATTTCATACAGGTGCACGGGTACTTAAATGAAAATGGGGAAGTCTCTGGCATTGCCTTCCCTTTTCTGCTCGTTGATTGCCAGGTGACCCTCCTGACTCCAAGGTAGTTTGGGGAGCTGTGAGTCAGGATTTA